CGCTAGAGGTCACAACCAGATGACAAAGTTTCAGCCCGATCCGATATTTTATTCAAAAGTTATAAGTGATTTTCTGAAAAGTTCAATGGGAAAATGGAGCACATTTTTGCCCCTTTTCGGTTTCTGGCGCCCATAGAGCCCCATGTATTCGAAAACTCCGTCGGCCGCCATTTTCCCATTGAACCACAAACTATTAAAAAGAAAAGAAAAAGAGTTCGCAATTTTTATGTGCTTTCAACCTTCAATGACCTGCCGATAACATATATGGACTCTAAAAAAAACTCGAACAAGTGCTCCAAGATCTTAATGAAACAACAGAACTATGCGTGAGTGTGTGCGCGTTTTAACAGTTCTTTATTGCATCGTAGTGTAGTTATTGAAACTATGCGCGTTTTTTTTTTTTTTTTTTGCATCATAGTTTTTTGCTTTTGCAGCGTGGATATTGCATGATGAGCTTGATAGTGTTTGTGTGTGGGGACATTGTGATTATGACTTGTAGGGTGCTGTCCTACAAGCCTTTACTGGCTTTGACAGACCCGTGCTTCGACTTGAAGACCTATCTGCACAAATAAATAAATCATCATCGTCGTCGTCGTCTTCGGTATGTTGTTCAGAGATGTGTTACCAGATACGGAAAAAGGACACGGTTGTTTTATATTTCGGAAGTAGGACAGTTGAAGAAGTGGATTCGTCGTCATGTGTTTAAAGACTATTTTTTTTTTGTTGCGTGCGTGTGTGTTGGGGGGGAGGCTGGCAAGCCAAGGCTTGTGTTATCGTGTTAGTTTCTCTGTATCGGGCAGGAGATCGATCTATAGCGAGCGCTATGACCCGTTTGTTGTCTCCACACCTCGGTGTTTAATCAACACAAGGCCTGTGCACATGCATGCCCACAGGCCTTATGGGCATGTCCCAAAACATCATATTCAACAGAGCGCGGGGCACAGCGTAATGTAAAAAATATCGACGAAGTGACGTTAAGTGCCGGATCTATCCCGAAACCTGTCGTCAGAGAACGCGAGCTTGACTCACTTCGGCTTTTGTGCTGAGCTGGGCACCGTACATGCTGCTTTGTTCATGCAGGCCGGAGTGGTAACAAAAGAGCCCCTCCTCCCCCTCACCGGAGAACACGAACTCCAGCCGAACGCTGATGCCGCGTTCGGTTATGTCGACCGAGCGCTGAGTCGTATTTGTTGTCCCCATCCGTGTAGTTCTAAAGTTAACCGCTTGGGGCGTCACAGTCTGTCCTTTCCCCCAATAGTTTATTTTTCACCTAAGCTGACTTTGTGTACGTACGGAACGGCGCTCCAAGCAACGAGGAACGGCGTTCCTGGAGCGCGTTCCTTTTAGGAGGAACAAAGGAACGCCGCCGTTCCATTTTGCATCGGGGGAACTGGAACGGGAACTTGTTACATTTTTACTGGAACGGAAGAAAAGAACGGCCTTCCTTTTTTTCGTCCAGTGTTGCAATTTTTATTTATTAGGGGAAAATTCTCGAAGTATAAAAAATATATCTTTACGAAGAGCAGAATCTCATTAACTTTTTGGTTACTTAGGGTTTATTTTGTTCTCGCTTGGTAACAGTCGGGTGCAGGAGAGCTAGTGGACATTGATTCTTTTTTGAGTGCCCGAAACTGCGGTACAAAAAGCAAAACTTTTAGTCGAAGCAAAAGACACAGAGAGAGGGATGTTTCAAACTCGGCTACTTGCCGTGAACGCAGACATCTTAATATGTAGGCGCTTGGCATGCTTGGCATAAACTTATAAAATGATCAAGAGAGCCTGTAAATTGCTTCCTGAAATAACTAGTCACAGTTACTTTTTTATTCGCGGTGATTTCTAGTCGAAAGCACGTAATTCTGAGTTGTACACAACGTGTGCGTGAGCGCACCGCCACCCGTTGCTCACAGTGCAATTGTTTTTGCAATTAATTTCATATACCTTACATCACTGACATTGTTTTATATAATCAGCATGTGTGCGTTTTATTATGTACACTTTACTTTGATTTAACTAGTATGTATTTCAGTGAGGATAGTTTGTTATACTTTGCCTTGAAATTGCCGTCCTTCACCCCACAAATGTTTCGAAATGTCCGTTCTCTATATATCCGAGATCAAGTTCCGCATACCATCAAATAAGCATGAATGAAGAAGTATTGACTATTTTATCTATTTGAGCATTTTCTACCCCAAAAAACATTCCTCCCGAGAGCATATAAAAAGTTGAAGATAGTCCCCCCCCCCCCCCCCCCCCCCCCCCCCCACTCCCTCCCTTTTGCTCCGTGCAAGATCGACCGCGTGAGCAGGGTAGCGAGCGGGCCCAATGCACCAGGGGGGGGGGGGGGGGGGGGGGAATTCGGCTTCCGACCCCTCCCACCACCCCCCCTGGCTACGCCACTGGTTAGAAGTTCGGTTGCTTGCGGGGCAACACGCAGGCTACGTTGAAGATATATACCGAATTTTTTTTAAGTGCTTTAATTGTTACAGGTGGAATTGATGCGCTTTGACCAAGACATGTAATGCGAGAGGAGAAGACCTAGGTATACTTGCATTCACAAATTCTTTCCAGTGTGTAGCCATTGAACGAATATGTGAACATGCATGGAAGGGAGCGTACGCTTAGAAAAAGACATTAAGACGGTTTTGCGAAAGTTTATGCTCATTTGCCAGCGTGTTACACCAGGGGCAGAAGCCTGCAAATGAACTGTAGTTAATCGTGTGTTACAGGGCGCAGTCGTCAGCGTAAAGACGTATTTTAGTGGCGATGTTACGTGGTAAATCGTTGATGTAGACTGTACGGCACGCATCTCCGACCCTCACTATAAACGCCATTTTTGACATAATTAAAGGGGTCATGAAACGCTTTTCCAACTTTTTCCTGTTTCGCTTTCCTCCTCAACTCGTAAATCGCGCATTCCACCAAACAGTTCAAGAAGACGAAAAGAAAGGAGGCCCCTCTCGCTCGGAACCTGGTTTGGGTAATCCCCGGACACATCCATTCTCCCCCTAGAAGATTAGCCCGTCGCTCAAAACTCAGACAAAAGTTTCTTTCCCTAGTCCGTTCACCCCTAAGCTGACAGTGCTGTGGAAGCTACGTGCTCCTTGGGCTAGCCACACTTTTGCCACGTAAGCGTGGCAAATGTGGCTGCAGAGAATTAAGTCAGGTGATGAAACGGAGGTGGCCGATTGGTCCGGCAAGCGCGTAGCTTCCACCACAATGTCAGCTTAGGGGTGAAGGGTCTAAATGAGGTCCGGTTTTGCGTGACGTCAGTTTGGACCCGATGACACGCTTATGGGACCGCGGATGTATCCTCGTGAAAAGGCAGAGCGGTTACGAAGGGGAGAAGGAACGAAATAGTCCGCTGTGTTTTCAAATTTTCGCACTGAATGTCAGGCTTTTGACTTTCTACCTTTTTTCTTTTGGCCCACTGAACGATGTTCTATTAGTAAAATCCCAATCTAAAATGATTTATCCCAACCCAAAAATCGTTTCATGGGCCCTTTAAGAACAGAACAGCGCAAAGACGAGAACAAATTAAGTAGAAGGTAACCGACTGGACACAGCGCTGACTCTCAACTGAAGATTTATTTCAAACATGCCACGCCACATAATCAAGGAAATACACACACACAAAAAAGTGCACATCATGTGTTCAATACAACACCGTCAGTTTTTTTGCTTCCGTTGATTTATGTTGTGTGGCATGTTTGCCATTTACATTGGATGCCAACATAAATAAATCTTCAGTTGAGAGTCAGTGCTGTGTCCTGTCGGTTACCTTCTACCTTATCACCGTCTTTGCGCTGTTTTGTTTTTAATTATGTCTACATACCAACTAGCCCAAACTTCTACGTTGATCAGTCATTTTCGAAAACGGGTGGCGCCACCTATCTGGAAGTCTGGAACTGGGAAGACGACATGACTGGGACACACCGGATACACATGCCTTACAAAAGTAAGCACACGTACGATGTCTGGAGCGCGTCTCCGACAGAGGTGTTCAGTGTCCTATTCCGCTCATGCATTAAAAGTGGTCCCGAAGTGGCAACCAATGACGTCACGAAAACCGGGGTGTAATGCTGTCGGATACCGGGATCTGGTGGTTGGCCGTAGAAATACTGGCGAAAAGCTCGAGCGAACGCAAGTGTCGCTGTCTTCACGGCGTGCCTAGAGTAAAGCCCCTTAATATTTCAAAAGTAGCGCAAGGTGCGTCGATGCACGAGGCACGTGCAGCCCTTGGGAAGATCATGGCGGCACAGCACAGCACTGGGCTGGATTTCAGACGCCATGAATTTCCCAGAATTGTCGCGCGGCACGTGGCTTTAGCCTAGAGTTCGTTTATAGGGAGTATTCACTGGACGCCATATTTGTGGGTGCTGTTTAGAGCGCATGCTCAGAATGAGCTCACATCAATAGGCTGCTAAGACTGACACTTGATGGTGCGGAATGCACGTTTCAAAAGAACTGTGGAAGCTCGCCATCAGCACGCGCTCAGCATTTACGGAGCCAGAGATGCGCGTCTGTTTACCACGTGCTGCCGCGCCGCTATTCGGAGCCGGATCAAATGCCGTGCAGGAAAGTAGATGTCGCACGCGCTCCGGCGTCCGTTCCCCTGCTTTTGAGCGCGCCGCCGCTATTCGCCGAATTCAGTCACGTGAGGAGCAGGATCAACATGCCGTGCACACTGGCCGTGCATGAAAGACGGCGCTACGGGGATGAACGTGCAACTCTGCATGCCAACTTATGCATTCCAGTGACAAGTGCGTCTGCGGCGCCGATGACGCAAAATATCCCGCCACCGCTGCCGCCCCCGCCACGCCACCGAAAATGACTGTCACGCGGTCACGCCGCGACGCCACCGCCGTCGGCCTGTAAATAAATTTGTATCGTTTTGCACTGTTTGATAAAACATACCTAATAATTTTAAATAATAAATATAATTACTAATACAACCTTAGTTTAGTAAGAATAAAAATATATATGTTATTAGCGCGAGCAGTGACTGCCGCATAGCTCGCGTACTGTAGCTCGCGGGCGGCGGCGGTTTTGAGCATGACAGAAACAACCATTTTTCGTTTGACCGCAGGACGTCTGGCTTCATGTCGTGCAGTCGCTAGGCGCTGGGGGTCCGTGCAGTTAGACACGCTCTTGTTTTCCCATTTCGACTGCCCGAGCTGCCCCTTGCCAACCACACAAAGAGCCATGACTACTTTTACGCGTTCCTCACGTTGGGTGAGTATTCCCTCTTTGTTCCTCACGGCTGTTTGAAACCTCGACGTCTTTCTTCAGCAGTCTCTATTACCCTGAGTGCTATGTCCTTCCCCACTCTGTCACCTTTTTATTCAGCGAACCTCGTCTTGTATACTATATCATCTTGTATAATGCATTTTATAATCACCACCATTAGAAGCGGCATACGGGCTGTTGCCTTTGTGGTGTCGCGGCTCTCCTGAGCCAATAAATATTATTAATTGTCTGGTCCGGTGAGGCTCCGTCTACCGCGTGCCTTGTTGAAAAAGTTTGTTCGAGTTGTTCGGCAAACGAGTGACTACTCGTGCCTTTTGTCAACCGTAGGTGTCGGCGGCGGCTTCGTCGACTGAAAACGCCCCCGAGCCCGATGTGATCACAAAGCTTCGGGTTACGACCGTCACCCAGCGAGTCGCCCTGCGTCCTGCAAACAAGGTTCAGCCGGTTGCTGTCAAACCAGGCAAGCTGCAAAGGGTGAGCGAGCTTGGAACCCTTCTGGGACTAGCGTTTTCTTCAGCTGTGGTCTCTGGGGGCGGCGCCCTGCATCATGCTGGAGGTTGACAGGCACAGTCTGTGCCTGGTGTGTTCCCAATCTTGCACCGCCTCGGGGCTGGGGTCAGCGCAACGATTTTAAGGTTGAAATAATTTGCCGTTTGCGTTTTTTTATATTTCCTATCGTTCCACAACTAAACAAAAACATGCATCGTTCCCCCGAAAAGTGATTCTGCTGCGTAATCGCAAAGGAAAAAAACAAATTATTTTCCAATCTGCAGCCGCATGTGGCGGTTACAGAACTGCGGTTTGACATAATCGGGGAAATTTCGTTTGTAATTTAGCATGTGCAATTTTGTGCTAATTTTTTTTTTTTTTTTTTAATGTTCGAGCATAAAGCAATACGGGAAAAGTCTATTATATCCCCAAAATGTATTAAATTGTTGTGGCACCATCAACCGGAAGTCAACAAAACCATCCCCCTGTGCCGTCACGCTCCCCGTCATTCCCGGTTTTCTTGTGCTGTATCTGACACCTTGTTTCCTTGTGTGGGGGAGTGCACTAACGATGACGAAAAAGTCTGGTGCGCCAACGCGCGAGCGATGCTCTAACTGCTTGGTCTACCCAACAATCTGCCGATGTCCCATTATCTGCCAAGAGCACACCCTATGTAAATATTCATACATGGATTAAAGAGCTTCAGCAACGTCTCGGTTAATGTCTAGCAGTTTGGTTTGTTCGGGCAACCACTCTCTGCGCTGCCGTTTCGACGGTGTGCCCGCATTAGCGATCAGTCCGATAGATTCGCTATAACTGAGCATCTTCTGCTCCACATCGTTCAAGTCGTCCTTCCAACACGCCTTGTTGGTCGAGAGCATGGCTGACACAGTGTTAAGAATTGCAGGAGGAGCACTGGAGGACCAAAAACGGGTCGCGGAGCCCATTCGGAAGTGACGTGATCCCCCGGAGATATCACTGTGCACGTGGCTCGGAAGTACTGTCGCCGATGCATGAATTGAGAGGCGCCAGAAACTTCTATCTTTGCCATTTTTTTTAATAAAAACTAGCGCACATTTTAGTTTTAGGGTTAGTTTTAATAAAAGTTAGAGTCAAGAAAACAGGTAAAGAAGAAAGTTGAAGCTCCTCCCACCTTTTTCCACTTTAGTAGAGCTAACGCTAGAGAGATGACCTCCTCTCCACCAATCGCTCCGCTGAAGTGGAAAGGGGTGGGAGGAGCTTCCACTTCGTTCTTGACCTGTCACCGGCTATAGCCCCATAAGCTTCCCAAAATTTTGTTAATTCTACAAATGACTGGCGTTATGCTGTGCTGTGCTTTATAAGGTGTGGAACAGAATAAATTGTGGATCAATGATGGCAAGTGTCTCAACTTGCCATTATTTGATTTATACATTAGAAGTGGTTTTCAATAGAGAAACGAAACCACTATGCAAAGACGCAATGACTAATGACATACTCTACTGGCAATGGGCACCATTTCCTCAATAAAAATTTTGCTTATCTTTAATCTGATGACAGCAAGTTCTTAACCCTTGGCATCTGATCCCAACCACTAGCACTATGTTTGGAAGGACACCGAAGGTTTGGCCATGCATAGTTTATCTTTGTTGTGGTGAAGCCTCATTTTTTTGTTTCCTTCCATGTACCTGGTTTAACGACCAAAGGGCATCTGATATGTCTATGATATTAAATTCCGAACCCTGTTGACTTTCTCGCAGTCGGCGTCGCTGACAACAAAGTGCCCGGAGCCCAAGGCTACAGCTCGGAGTCGCCCGACACGCGCTGCAAAGCATGTCGTGGTGAAGAAGCTACCAGAGACGGACACTGTAAGTGTGTAAACGTTCTTCAGTCTTTGCAGTCTGTTTGGAAGTGCCATTAAACGAGCTTGAAACTCTCCTTGAAAAGCGTGAATTTGAATGCCAATCTTCGCAATTGCCCATACAAATTTCCTTCTGAACGTGTTCAGCTCAAAACACTGAAAGCTCTTGCGTTGCTTTGGCACCAATCCCTCACAAATTTTTGTTATGCATGTTCTCGGTTAATTTCTCGAGCTATAGTCGAATAAAACTTAAGAGACAGTGCAAGAAGGGTGAGCATGAGAAAAGGTTGTGCCACTTCAGCTTTTCTACTGTCTGCCCTTACCTCCTCCCCCCACTGTCTTTATGTTATACCTGACTATAGCCACATCGACAGTTTTTTTCAATCTCTTCTTTGCCTGCTCTTTAATATCTCTAAATTCGGAGTAACTATTGAGAAAATCGAGAGTGCAATGCGAAAACTATTGTGCAAATTTTCCCATGCTTCCCGGTACCATGTCATCGCTGGCAGACAGACTTGGACGTCGAGTAATTGGTCTAAAATACAGGATGTCCTGTGCATTTTGCTTGTTTCATGTTGCTGTGCTATGCTCAAGTGAGCCTAGACAGCACTAATTTCACGCCCATTATGGTTCTTTCTATCGCTTAAATGGCCACTGGCAGCCCCAAGACCAATATATTTTTTACCGTCTCAGATGCTTCGGAGGCGCGTGGTAAAACAGCAAAAAAGAAATTGTTACGAAAAAAAATTCCTGGTGCACTAAAGTCTTCAAAGTGTCCTCCCCCAATTTGAGCTTCTCACTTCATTTTTTTGGTGACTTGTTTGGCAAAGGCATTTTTGAAAACATGGAGGGGTGTTGCGAGTTGCATGTTTGTAATAAAAGCCATTCATAAAATGTTTACTACTGTAAAGGCACTACGGTGCTGACTTAGAAACATAAAAATCGGGAGACCGGAAGTGTTGATTACGAAACATTGGTTGTCTCCTAGCCTTTTCTTAATACTCTAACTATGGTGGCACCTGGCGGCTTTGCTGAGGGCACACGACAGGAAAGTTGGACAGCTCGGTAAGAGTTTTTATTTCGGTGCCGGATAACCTCTTGCGTGGCACCTTTGCGACATCGCCTCTCGAGTCTCTCAACAAGGAATGCAACACATTTTCTTCTTTTCCTTTTTAAAAGTTTGTTTTAGACCGACTGAGACTGATGAAAGGCACTGATAAGTGACATGTCGTCTGCACGTGAAAGAAGGTCTCGCGAAATATGCTCGCAGTTGGTCGGGTGGCACGTAGCCTCTCCATGAACGATGAGAGGGAAAGAGAAAGTTAAACGGCACTTCCTGCTTGAAGTCATCCAAAAAGGCAAGGATTGCATTATTTTGCTAACTACCTCATAGATTCGGGTGGGCATTTCAAATCTAGCTTTCTGAAAATAATTTTTTCCTGTGAAAATATGCAGTTCTCAAGCTTGATATATTTAGGGTGAACCCTGGGAATCATTTTCAATTGTTTGCAATGATAAAAAAAAAAAAAATATATTAATGTTGGGATTGTTAGTGGCCTATTGTCCTGGCAGTAAACCTGTGCCTGCAACTGGTGTCTCTTTTTCAGTGTAGGTAGTGGAGACTGTCTGAAAAAAATGGTGAGGGCAACATTGAATAACTTCATGAAAGGAGTCTTGAGCTTCCTTTGAGGCTGTGGTGCAAGAATAGGAATGGGTACTAGTCTGTTGCAGGTTAAGAATAGGACTGGCTTCTTTGGCAAAGCCCTCCACTCTTTCCACTTGGGCTGAAGAGTTCCGGAGAGGAGGAAACCACTAATCACGACGAGCAGAGAGCTAGGTGCGATGGGCATGTCCTGCTCATCTACACCTGCAACGGACTACTCAAAACCGCTTTGATGGGAGCATGCGTCCACACAACTGAAAGACCTGCCCAGGCCTGTGTGCCCGAGTACATGCATACCTCTACTAGTCATACTTGCAGTTTCTAGATCAAATATAGCACTTTCATTCTTCGTGTATACTTGTTGATGTGAGAAGTTGGAGTGATGTACAGCCTCAGACAGACATTACATCGGGGGACACTGGCAGTCTCGAGGTAGAGCGCGTACCTTCTGTGGCATGTATTTCACGTGTCGCAGATCGTTGCGTGTGAGCCACATACTGCCTGGTACGACTTTGCGCCGTTAAGACCCCGATGAACGGGACGGTTGCAGGTTGCGTCCCTGGACGTGGGTGAGCTCCGCTTGGAGCCCGCACAGACACAGTCTTTCTCGAGCCAGCTGCTGCTGCCAGACGGCGTGCCGGACATTGACGCCGACGACCAGGGCAATCCCCAGCTGTGTGCAGAGTACAGCAAGGACATTTTCGAGTACCTTGTCTCACTCGAGGTGGGTTCCCTTTCTGCTTTGGTGTGGGAGGGACGACAATGTGCTGCGGGTATGTTTAGACGGCGGGGAGTTTGTCGGCCTGCACTGGCGTCTCCACAATGGATGAGCAATTTAGCCAGTGCGGTACTGCCGTTAGCCTGGGGTCTTTAATGTGCGCCACGCAGTAGTGGCACATGACTGCATGTCAATGTAACGCTTGTCCGTATAGAAATGGGCAGTGGTGGGGAATAAACCCAGGATGCCCAGGTTGGCGCGAGCTTTCGTTTCATGTGCTCGGAGCTGCGGTTTGCTAACACGCTTGGCCAAAGATTCTGCCCCTTGAAGTAATGACTATGAACACAAATTATGAACCGCATCTTACAGCAGCAAGAAACTCTAGTTTCGTGAGAAGAAATCCCGATTCACAGCCACATTTCGCATTCGCCCAGTACTTGCCCCACACTGAGCTGTCCCTAAGGCTGCTGCGGTCTTTGGTAACCATGTCCCCTTATCTCAATTCCTTTCCTTATCGGTGCCGGGAGGTTTTCATTGGGGTCCCGAGCACGTTTTCTCGAGGATGGGAACCCAAAGTTTGTGTCGCGCTTCCTTAAACGTGAGCAAAATCAATTTTAAGCAAATGCTGAAAAAAAAAAAAAATTTGTGGGAAAAAATTTATTACAGAAAAACCTCCCAAAATAACTCCTGCCAAAAGGCATGCTACAGCCCCGCACGCTGCCGTTGCCCAAGCAGAACTTCTGACCCCAAGATATAGAGGAAGACCAAGAATAGAGTGGAAGGTACCTCCCAGTCAGAGCTCTTATTAGATAAGACTCCCTTCACAATTCCCAAGGCTGGTTTACACCTTTGTGTTGTCTCATTCCAAATATTTTTTAAATCCAAATTCGAAATGTTTGAAAATTTTGGATTGAAGTTTGAAGTCTTTGAATTCGTCTCGGATACAAATGCCATTAAATCTGACACAATTCTGTTATGCCACGAAGAGTCTCTTTCACAGTACTGTAATACTGAAGGTACTTCTAGTTATTTACTAACTCGGGTTGCTCCCGGTCCTCGAAAATACAGCCATGGTCAGGTTACGACACATGCATCAGGCTCGCATCACTAGTTTCTCATGCTGTTCGTCGGTGAATAGTAAAACTGAGGGATATATTGGACACTCTAAAATGCAGCAGTTTCCTAATAACGGAGCAGGTGCTGACCCAACATTAATGTTATGTGTCTGTGTTACTCTGTACATGCCTTTCCCTGACCAGCCGCTTACATGAGGAAATTCAAGGAGTTGCGTTCAGAGAAAACTAAGGTTGTGAATGAACAGGGCAACCTACAGAGTTTTAGACGGGAGAAGCTCTGAAAAAGGAGAAAAAAATCTCTGGCACGATGTACAAGGCAGAGGCACTGAAGCTAAAGTGAATTGTTGGTGGCCCCACCCAGGATTGGCAAAGTGAAGCTTCAGTGCAATATTTACATTCATATATCTTATGCATACCTTGTTGCCTTAACTTACTGGGAAAAGTTAGCTCAAACTTCGTCGTACTTTTGTCAAGGAATTCGAAGTTGGCCCAACTTTTGAACTTCACACATTCAAAAGTTTGAAACTTGTCGGACTTAGCGTGACAAATTAAAAAATACTCCAATTTCTTGGCGCAAAAGTTCAAATGTTTGATTCATATTGACCCTTTTAAATGCCTTGCTTAGGTTCGAACAAAGTGTGCGACATCTCTAGTTACGACGGGGAGACATGCCGACGCCATCTATCGGGTAGTCCCGAAACCCTTCCGGTCTGCATACGCTTTCGCTGCGAGCTTTGAAATATTCCAACAATGTCGTAAGTAACCATTTCTAAAATAGTGGGTAGATCTCGTCTCATGAATACTGCGAAACATTAAAAGTGCCAGCGTGTTCTCTCGTAGCAAGCGGTCACAAACACTTGCTAGCAGCCGCTTACAATGCAATTGTGCACACCAGCCTTTACAGGCACCGACAACCTTTAAAGCACCCACTGCACGATGGTGCAGGTTTTAGGAAGTGAATGGCGGCGGACACCGTTTGACTCTTTGTCTATCTCGATAACGATGTCAGTTTTTCATATGCTAAAAAAAAACTTTCTGAAAGAACTTGACACAAACGTTTTTTTTTTCGTGATCATGTTTATTGGGTGCCTACATTGCCGTAATTGGAAGTAATAATACAATGACAATATTTTAACGCATAGTTTTTCAAACTATTATAATTTGTTGCTCAGGATCTAATTTCAAACGTGCGAACAACTATGGCAGTCAAGTGTGCAAAATAATCGCCACTGGTGCCATTTGCAGAATTTTTAATTAACTACTTATGAAATAAAACTGGTCCAAAAAGCAACGAAAACGTTCTAGCTAATCCGAGAAATCCATGTAAAATTGCATTAATTCTGGGTAAAGCGTATGGTGCTATCATAGTCGCGACTTTTGACAATCGGTAAAACTACCAAAGTCGTCGCCAAACCTTCCGAACCTAACGAGAGTTCAATTGCCGTTAAAACAAAAAAACAAAAAAAACAAACCTAGAAGTGCTTTTTGTCGCGGAGGGCTCTGTCGCTGTGGTGGTAACAAGGCCCCGGTGGCCTCTAACATGGAGTGTTACAACATGCCTTGCTCCAGCGCCCTTATTGGGTCACGGGGGCCGCAGCCTCCACAGTTCGCCAAGTTATCGTGAAACTGAGTATAATGAGGTACAATGTCATGCCGGCTGCTGCACTACATTGGGACAGTAGACAGTGTTGTTTGCATTCAGAAATGAGTCGTGGCATTTCGCTAGCTATGATCACCAGCGGTTCTGCTGAGCAGGAGAACAGAGGGACCCTCCCTAGGGTGCTTCCCGTTTCCGCTGCGGGAGGGTGAGCAACGAGCTGGAGACGCGAATACTTTACATTCCATGTGTTATTGAAGTATTTTCCAGTCTGCGCAGTTCTCAAAAAGGGGGTTGTCTTTGAGAACCATACAGTGAACAGAAAACTTGCCAGTTCACCTGTTCTTTGCGTTCAATTGCGACACGCTTCTTTTTGATGTATTATTTATGCAGGAGTTTTTATTTGTTGATTTTGCTGAAAACTAGAGCCAGTGGATATGGCCGTAGATGGTGGTAATTATCTGCGTGCATCAATCAATCTTTTCTTTAAAAAAAAACAGCATGAAGTTGTTTGTTTTGAAACAACTTCATGCTTCTCAAAGTAACTCAGTACCACTGTTTCACTGGTTGTGTGCTATAAGGGACACATTTCTATAACAAAATTAAGCAATAAAAACGCAAAACCGCAACACGTCTGCATGCATGGGGAAACCGAAACCAACCGAATTGAAGCAACCTAATGGCGTCAAGCGTGCCAGCGCCATCTATCAGTCAGGCAACTACTGAGATGAAGTGTGTAGTATGTGCATGGGCGGGAAAAGGCGGGAACAAGTACAGCACGGGACTAGCTGCCAGGCCAGTCCACCCTGGCCATGGCACCGTCCTCGCTGAAGTTACGGAAGTGAGCACGGCACGTACGGCCAACAAAGCTCAGTTTGAAGCATTTCCCAGCCCTAAGAGTTACTTCGTCCGGCAAATATATTAAATGACAACAAACATGCCATGGTCTGTGGTCCATTCTCGAACGGTCAAATGGTTCGGCCTTAAAACGACCATGTTCCTTTCTGTGCCGAGTGGTCGAGTGCCTCTGATTCAGGCACTGCATCGGTACTTTTTTGCATTTTTTTTTTGGTTGAGAAGCTTCGGAAGTTATTTAAATAAAGGTTAGTAATTATTGGAGATATTACAGAACCGCAGGAGTGATGTTTTTATAAGACTTTAGTTCACAAGATTTTGCGGCTCAATTACCCTTGTTTTTATGCAACAGTGTCTCGCCGGTGATTTCAGGTAGCACGTCCCGACCTGTGAGTGTCCTAACTTCGGTGATAAATTGCTGCCCGTCTGCTTGGTAGATGGAGCTTGGCATCCTTCAAACCCCTTCCACCGTATGTTTAGGTGCCAAAATGGCCGATCAAAGGTGAAATAGAACAATCGCAGCGGACGCTATCGAAAGGTATGTCTAGGTGGTGTTTGCCGGATCCCGGTCAACACGACAATGCTACTCAATAACTTGGCTTTCTTCTGCTTTCGCCGACCAACCGGGTGTAATTCGAGTGTTTGCTGCTGGGCTTCGGGAGCTCGCATCTGCAGAACTCTTTATTAAAAAGGTCCATTCAGTGAGAAAAGTTACTGTGCCTCTATCCAGCAAGAAGCACATACCTGTCCGTTTGCTACTAGTGTAATTAACTCTTGACCATCCACGTGTGTGAGGCATGCTTGTTTTAGTGCGAAAGCATGAACTGTCTTATGAAGCGCCGCTGGCGTTAGTTGTGATCGCAAAAATTGAGCAACTATTTCACATTAAGAGTGCCGGTGAATGAGCAACTGAAGAACTAAGCAGAGGGTGTGTGTGTGCTCGCCATTCCTTCTCTCCTCTCTCTTGGGTCACGGGTTAATCGTGGCTGAAGGCCCGGAGGGAGAGCCTCACGTGTTTTACGCTCCGCTTTCAGCCATGTCTCTCCACGGAGGAGCGGGCGCGCTGCCTGCTGTCCTCCGCGTCGCAGACAGCAGGGCGCGTTGCTTGTAGAAATGCGCCGCATGTAGGAATGCTTGGGCATTTCCATACGTAAGCAGTCTTAAGTGTACTCCTGTAATTTTTTTCTTGTTTTTCTTTTAAGAGTTGCGCCAGTATCTTAAAGTGGCAGTGTCACCGCGCAAATGTGAACGGTTGTTCTCATCGGGTCTCAATTCACCGTTGCCGAAGCTTGCATTAACTGATGCTGGGAGTGACCTCACAGCAGAACGGAGGTCTGTCATATCCACCTCTGCCGTCGTGTCCCTGCCAGGGTGGCAGCTGAAACTTTTACAATGTTACAAAGGACCACGGTTGAAGACACAGTGAGCACATGGTCAGGGACAGTCCTGGTGCCATACTTAGAACTGTCTCTGCCAGCCTTTGAGAGCCTGTGTGCCCCTGCAGGATAAGTTCCCGGTGCACAAGCAGTACCTGAAGAAGTGCAACCTCCACATCACAGGCGGCATGCGGGCCATCCTCATCAACTGGCTCATGCAGGTCCACGCAAGGTTCCAGCTACTGCCAGAGACACTCTTCCTTACAGTGTCGGTCATGGACCGCTTCCTGCAGGTGAGGACAATTGGGAGTACGGACACTTTGGCCATCTTGTTGCCTTCAAAACTTTGGTACAGCCGACTTCCATTAATTTGTGTATATGTCCTTTGAGTGTTCGGTGCGGCGACGCGGCAGGAGCTGCCCCCAGCACCATTGCAACACCGCTGTGGAGCAACGCACTCTGTTCCTCATTGCAATGGTTGTTTTGGTTGTGTGCACTGTGCAATGGTTGCATTGAGACCGGGCTGTGTCCAGTGTCTCAACGTGTGCTCTTTTTCTCTTTTTGCAATTCGCATGCGCTTCAACATTTGAAAATGGGTTTTTTCGCAAATGTTAACATTCAAACAATATATTATGCGTACCACACAGCGCAGCGTTATCCAAAAAAGATATACTTGAGAAATACCTCAAATAACGCAGCACTACAGTGTCGATGACAGTCTCATCTTGACGATCGTATGGAATCCAAGAGGACTTCGTTTTGGGGTACTTTTTGGGGAGAGCTTTTTTCTCCGCACCAGCACCAAGGCAAAGGAACAAACGCAACTGACCCGTTCCCCCCCCCCCCCCCCCCCCCCCCCTCCCCCAACCAGAGCAACTATTTTGGATTACGACTGAGAATGACTACACGGATTATCTCGGGGAGGGGGGTAACATTTGTAGTTGTTCGCAAAATCGCATCAAGGGCCGTTCGATTTCCTTCCCCTTCTTCGTTTCCCATGGATGTTCAGCAGAAATGCTGGAATGGCAGGCACTTACCAGTCCTTTTTTTGCAGATGAAAATAACAAAAAGGTTACTCCGCATGCTAAAAAGAATAAAGTATAAAGTGGATACTTTCAAGAGGCCGATGGATAATCGCACTGAGTGGGTTTCCACAGTCCAACGGTGGCAGAAAATTTCTAGCTGATAGGTGGCTGCGAGAATCTCACGAACTGCACCATCAGCAAAATTCAAACGGCCTAAAAGCATTCTTTTTGGAAAGGTGTATAGTGGTGTGCTCAGAGTTAACTGGACCTTGGTGCACTGGACCTCGACGCTACAGTCATCCCACAGGAGTACAATTTTCATTTCGCCTGCAAGTTGAAAATTTTTTTATTGTAACATAAATATTGGACAAAATTATTTTTCCTAGGCTCAGTGTATTTTTAAAGGCCCATTCACGCAGGATCGTTTTATGTTAGTCACAGGTACATTTGTGCTCTGTGGGTCTCAATCAGACCTATTACTTAAACTGGTTGCTACGCTTTGTACGAGGCACGGATGTCCCGGTGACTCGTGCCACAAGCAGGCATTAGCCACCGCAAGGTAACTAATTGTTAACAAAAGGGCCCTAAGGGTGACCGGGGTATGGTGGTCGCAAAGTCTGCTAGTGATACTATCTTGGCTTGCTCCTTGAGAGCTGCATATGCTCCCACCCCTATGGCGTTTGTGCCCCCTGCAGGCGGAGTCCGTGCCCCATTCGAAGCTGCAGCTGGTGGGTACTGCGTCAATGTTACTCTCCGCCAAGTATGAGGAGATGTATACCCCCGCGGTGGATGACTTCGTGTACGTGACGGATGGGGCCTGCGGCAAGAGGGACGTGCTCTGCATGGAGAGGACCATCCTGGACAAGGTGGACTGGGTCCTCGGGCGCCCCATCCCCCTCCACTTCCTGCGCAGAGTCTCAAAAGCTGGGCAGGTGGGGGTACCAGTCTTTTGTTATTTTTTTTTCTAGGAAGCTATTCTGAAACTTGTTGATATAGAGGAGAGTTTTCAGACAGGGTTTCTCAGTTTCCTTGTGGGCTTTCCCGAGCTTCTAAATTTTTTTGGCCATCCTTGCCCCAAGACAGTTTTGGCAGTGTGCAGGGTATGTAGGCTTATGTGCTGCTTTATTACATGAATGCTGAGACTGGGAGGGGGACTGGATCTTGTAGCTGCCCAAGATGGTTGCTCCATTTCGACCCGTGTCTATGCAGTTCTAACTTTGTCCTTGCTGCCAGGCCAGTCTACTCAAGAAATTAAGAAAATGTACTTACTTCACGAGAAGAGGTTACCCATGCGGCGTTCATTTGCGTTCTATGTAGAAGTGAACAGCATATTTAGACAAAAATGAGCATCAGCTTGTGGCGAGCAACTGTGTATGACAGTCTAAACTGCAGCCAGGTTTGACGAAAAACTCCTTCCTCAGACACTATAATTGTCTTGAACGCGATGAAGAGGAGACTGGAAACAAGCTGATCCCCAAAATAAGGTCAGCTATTCATGCAGGAAGAGTTCACTTCAAAACAATCTGGTAGGTGAGGGGGTGGGCTTTTACAGCAGAGCTGTTAAGGGCTAGGTTCTCCAGGATTGTGTCCGGTATGTCGACACAAACCTACCTGGACAGCTACCGCCATCTATAAGTGACGGCGGCAAGCACGCAACCAATCTGGTTTCCGCTGTTGCTCGTAGATGGCAGTAGCCTTTCCAGCTATCATAGAAGAATTGATAGTTGGGCGTGTTGGTGGGAACTCGTCGTAGGAAACGGTGCGAAAAACGGATGAAGATGAAGAAGCACACGTAACGAGCGCAGCGCTCGTCACGTTTGTTTCTTCGTCCTCGTCTGTTTTGCGCGCCGTTTCCTACGCTCCTACGTTCTTATCAGTTTCGGTTTGGACTCGCGATGGATCGGCCGCGTGCCCTTTTGGAGAAAGGAGACGGGCTGCGGAAAAAGCGGCGACGTGCGCAGCAGCGCAAATGGGTCCGCAACCGCCGCAAAGCCGTGACAGCGGCTTTGCGGCGACAGCGGCTTCCACTGCGTCCAGCGCTTCAGATTCCCTTGCCAAAGAGCACATCGCTCGCCTGGAAAGCCGCTGCCGAGAACAGAACCAGCAATGTAGAGGGCACCGGCGGGCCAACGCCACGGACGACGATCGTGCCACGGAAGCAAAGCGCAAGCGCGAGGCCCGGCGACGACTGCACTCCACAAGGCTGAACAGTTCCCGGGTGCGACGAGACGTTGCATGACCACACTAAAAATGGGCCTCTGCTGGGGTGGGAAAGAGGGAGAAGAGTCTTCCCCATGGAGAGGAGGAACTGACTCGTGGAGAGGTTCGTGACACCAGTCGGACATGTTATAGGAACCATAGAGCTGGCCTTAGTCTTGGTTACCACCAGTATTCAAAACTAATCGGTTTGTGGAGGGATGTTGTCATATAATTGGACAAAATGTCTTGGGACATGAAATGTGATGGGACGGGATGTTGTCTTGAGGCATCCGATGTGATGGGACGTTGTAATGGGAGAAGTTGTCTTTGGACGTGTGATGTGGTGGCACATGGTAATGGGACAGGATGTTTCTTGGAACATGCGATTGGTGGGACGAGTCGTTGTAATGGGACTGAATGTTGTGTTGTTCCATGCAATGGGACGTAGCGACTGGAGGCTCCCCTCCCTGTTGCGCAGGTGGACAAGGTGCAGCACTCGCTGGCCAAGTATATTCTGGAGCTGTCCCTGCTGTGCTATGAGCTGAGCTGGGTGCGCCCCTCTGAGCAGGCTGCGGCAGCCCTCTGCCTGTCCCTGAAGCTGTGGGGTAAGGACTGGGACCCCACCCTAACCCACTATGGCCGCTACAGCCAGGCCCAGCTGGTGCCCACCATGGCTGTCATGGCTGCAATTGTGCTGGATGCCGACAAGAGCAAGTTCACGGTGGGTTACCCTCAGTCTTTATTAGTTTCAAGGCTGAATACTTTTATAAGCTGCTTTTCAAGTCTAGAACATTGTGAGAAGTTGTTCCAAGAACATGATAATGGCTTGATCACACATGTGCTTAAGTGCATTGCATTCCCTTGTTAGTGCTTACAAGAGAACACACTGCTGCCATTTGTCAGGTAGCGTGGGAACAGTGTAGAAGTGCCGTAAAATTCCGCATAAACCCCTTCCCCGAGTGGTTGCCCACCCTGTTTTCCTGGCCAAATATACAATAGTTGAAAAATACCGAAACATTGCCCACTCCCCATTCTCGTCGACGCCATGTCCGGGAATCTCCAACTGTTTGACCAGTGGTATCGGTGTGTGACAAGAGAGTTCATAGCAGGTTCTCGTGTTTATTGCACCATGTAACTCTAGTTTGCTGTGCCCCTCAAGTCAGTTCCCATGGTATGCAAGTTCGTAGCAGTCCCCATGTGCTAATCGCACCGTGAAAAGTGAATGTACTGACTGTTCTTGTCACACCATGGAAACCAAGTTTGCCATGTCCGCGATATGCATGTGCGATATTGGTTCCCGTGACATGGGAGTTTAACTAGTTCTCTCGTAATGCACCGTGGAATGCAAATCAGTTGTGCAGCAATGTAAGCAAACAAAGTTTTAATTTTTTTTTGTAAAAGAAGACAAATTTTGAATGACTGCCGAATTGTTTCAGCCAGCCGGGAGGGGGGGGGGGGGGGGGGGGGGGCACTTACATTAGAAAAATGTCATTTCGCCAGTTTGCGGTAGAAATAATTTCGGTTACAACAGAATTTCCGAAAATCGATTCGGCATACATTTATCGGTTTAAACCGAAAATTCTGAACTCTACTTCTAGTGTACTGGATTATGTGGTACCTGTCCTATCCAGGGCACCTACAAGTTTTTGCTAGTTTTTGTCCTCACTTTTTTTTTATATATTGGTGACGGCATTTTTTTTAAATTTAGAGATATATCTTACGTTTCATGTGTGTAGCAATTATAATGCAATTCATCAAACATGTTTTGTAGACCGGAAGTGCTAGAGACGAAGCATCGACAGTCTCAGTTTTTTTTTTTTTTAATTCTCAACATGGCGGCGCAGGGGCTTTCTTGGGGCATTGAGCGTTGGAGACAATGGGGAAGTTAGCGAAGGCTCAGACGAGTAGTTTATTCCGGTGCCGCATATTTTCTCGGGCTTCGAGGGAGCAATTGTCAAAGGATCATCCCTCACTTCGCCCACGGAAGTCTGCAATACATAACCTAGAGTAGGGCATTGCTGAAATGAGGAAATCGAACTGACGAGACTTTTCGCATGTACTCGGAAATAGGACCCAGTTGCCGGGAGCGTGCCAGTAATTGCCGTGAACAATAAGAGAGTTAATCGACACTTCCAGTTTGAAGTCAGGAAAACGAAGGAGTGCACTACCTCACTGTTTATATCATTGATGGGGTTGAATCAATGATGTAAACAGTGAGGTGGTGCACTCCTTCTTCCTGACTTCAAACTGGAAGTGCCACTTTTTTTTTTTCTCAAAGTAACATATAAGTGCCATATTTTTTTTTATTTAGAAGTTTCATTCCTCTAGTATTGCAGATAACATTTCAAAAGCTTATTACTCAAAAATCAGTGGCGGAAAAAAAAAAAAAAAATGCGCCAACTAAAACGAGCGTTGCCATCTATGATCAGCGCCGCAAACTACTCGGACGAGCCTAGTTCGTGGAATTGAGCGCTACCGAAAAAACCACTGGACGAGCTGGGCTCGTCCATGGCATTTAAAGGGTTAAGTGTTTAAAATCTGGCTTTTTTTTAAATTGTGCTATGTTTTTAAGTTTAAAACTTGTGGAATGAGCCCTAGATTATTTTCAGTCTTTTGCAGCAATAAAGTGCTCACTGTCTGGTCTTGCATGCCTCCTCACAGGCCACGTACCAGAAGTTCAAGAGCAAGAGGTTGGATGCGGTCAGCAACCTGGCAGTGTTGTACAGTGCAGTATTCAAGAAGATTGCAGGGCGGACCTGAGCTTGGACCATGTGGTTGCACCCCCTGCCTGCCTTTGTCACTCTGCCTTTGCAGAGTTTTAGCACCATCTTAATGACTATGTAAATAAACTGCTTCTTTTTTAGTTGGTTCGATGGCTCGAGACTCCGTGGCCCTGCAAGGCCCGGCGGCTGCAAAATTGTCTACATTATGGGTTTTCAAGCTTCGTTCCCCGAGCTCCTAAATTCTTTCAACTGTCCTCGCTGCCAAGTCCAGTCCTTTTCCATCCTCGGTATTATTTTAGCCATGCATTAATGCACACTCCCTAGCATATAATTGTTTAAAAAGTCCGTAATCTTCTACACTGCTTTACTGCTCAAGTGCTGCACTATACTCCAGTCACCATTACTGATATTTCTCTACAACTTTGCACATTCTTGATAGAGGTAAAAAAAAAAGAATGCAACTGCTCGCAAGCGGAACCTGATCTGGTCTGGGTGTTCTTTATAATGGGCCACTTTCAGAAATCCCTCCATGCAATAATGCGCGTGCTGCACGCTGGGAACCAGTTGGCCGTGGAGTGAAGTGGCATGGCTTCGGTTTCGACCAGACAGCAAGGGTCCATACTCCTGCAGCCTAGCACGTGAACTTCCAAGCATACATAAATTTTCTACACGAGCATGTGAACATGCTTGCATGACAGTGGCACCAGCAGGGGCTTTGCGATCCATAATTCTACGTTTGCCTGCCTTTGCATGAAATCCGGCCACATTGGGATCCACAAAAACTGCCAAGTGGTTTTTTTTTTTTCGGTATCTCTTGGCAACGACTACGGTATTGTACACTTGTAGAAAGTTGCAGCAATGAAAACTTGAGCAGTGTGTCATGACATGATCATGACAAAATCTGAAACTAACCAAAAGTAAGTAGCCAAGTGGTACCCAGAATCCATTTCGTGCCACCAGGAATGCTTCGATTCGAGAAAAGATATATTGGACATATTTTGAAACGTGGCAGAATGATTCATCAATTCGTCCAATCACTGAAACCAATAAAAGAAATAATTGCTGTCAATTTAAACTCTTATGCAAATTAATAAACCACCTTTTCCTGACATAAGTGCCGCCCTTGAATGGTCTGCAAAAATCTGCGCATTGTGCTGGGATTTACTACAAAGGTGTGACTAGGTGGTGCATGTAGGGAGTTGAAATATGAACGGATAAACTTGCCTTGGTTCGAGAAGAAAAGGAATGACTTGTTTCGGATAATCTACGGCGCTAGTTCCCGGGCGACGCAGACGGTGTCTGTTGCCTTCGAGACGCTACCGACCAGTTTTGTAGCCAGAGGGGAAGCTTACAAAGCTGCAGCCCAGAAGGAGATTCGTTCGCTGTGATCGTGTGCTTTGACAATGGAGCTGTTAAGGGCTAGGTTCCTCAGGATCGTGTCTGTCCGCACAGAAATGTCGACACAACACTGGTTGCCGTTGTTGCTCATAGATGGCGGTAGCTGTCCAGAGTGTTGTGTTTGCCGGTTGTCTGCTTGCCGCCGTCACTCGCAGATCGCGGCAACCTTTGCAGCATTTTCAGTCTGGCTTGCCGACTTGCGGACAGCCATTACTTCATTCCCACCATAGTACAGCTTCGCTGGTCTTCCTTCTTCACCAGAGTAGAAAGGCTGAAAGTTTTTCTGTTTGGTTCTAGTCGACAACATAGCTGCATGCACTTGCCAACTAAATTATTAAAAGTGAGCACTATCTTTCATTCGCAAGATGATAAGCAATATATAGGAACACACATTCCCATCCTAAACTTGTAGTTAAACCCATCCACTTTAGTCAACGTTACTAAAACATTCAGTTGGGAAACTTGCCCTTGAAACCTGGGTAGCTGGCATCCACCGAGACCAAGCTAAATACGATAACAGCGCCAACCCTTTAGCGACGCGTTGAAACATGAAAGTTGCATTATATGGCTACTGCTAGAGCAACAACTAGAAACTAAGGCCATAGCGCTGTTCTCGTTATGTCGCAAAGGAAGGCAAATGAGCAAACGCTGTTGCTTATCTTTTTTTTTTTTTTTTTTATTCTGAGACATAAAGTTGTTTAAGCTTCTTCGATCCCACAACCCCGCCATTTATTGTCATAGTAGTGCGCATGTTTTTTTATTAATGACCGCAATATAAACAAACTTGCAAATAAAAAAAAAAATGTCCAGAAATGAGCAGCGTTGTAGATTTCGCAGTATGCTAATAACAGATTATTTTTCTCGAGGGTTCTATACAGGCAACAACTGTACCATTTCTTAAACCATATAATCATAAATGCCACAAAGATGCAATGATTCCCAAGACTGAAGTTAAAAAGCGCGAATCTAACAGTGAACCAATGATTTTTAATTTCTTATTAAAAAAGAAAAGAGAAAAAAGTGAAAGCCGTTTACAACTTCCTGTAACGCCGAATTGGAGCGCAGCTCTTGAGGAGGAGGAGGGAAGGGTACTGAGGGGAGGGTATATTCCTTCTGCTCCCTCATGATCATGCCTGCTAGTCCTCCTCCCCTCCTCCTCCTCCACCCCCTCCCTCTCCTTCACCGCCTCCTCGTCCTTCAAGCTCCTCCCTTCCTTCAAGCTTCCTTGAAAGTGTGGGGGGGTCACATGACCCGTTTCCAGCCTGTGCGGCGTCGGCGTAACCGCGCCCCTCCCCCTCCTCCTCCTCCTCCCCTCTTCCCCTCATTATCTAGTATGGTCCGAGGGGGTCACGTGACCTCGGGGGAGGGGGTCACATGACCCGTTTCCAGCCTGTACGGCGTCGGCATAACCGCGCCCCTCCCCCTCCTCCGCCTCCCCCTCCTCCTCTCCCTCCCCCTCCCCCCTCCTCCTCCTCGCCCCCAAGGTCATGTGACCCCCTCCCCCCGAGGTCACGTGACCCCCCGGACCATACTAGACAATAAGGGAAAGAGGGGAGGAGGAGGAGGGGGAGGGGCGCGGTTACGCCGACGCCGACGCCGCACAGGCTGGAAACGGGTCATGTGACCCCCCCAAGGTCACGTGACCCCCTCGGACCATACTAGATAATGAGGGGAGGAGGAGGGGGAGGGGCGCGGTTACGCCGACGCCGACGCCGACGCCGCTCAGGCTGGAAACGGGCCCCTAAGAGCTGCGCTCTAAAAATTGAAATGATTTATTGGACATCGTGCGCAGGATGAAATCGCGGTTAATTCTGCACGAAAAAAAAAAAAAAAAAACGGTTAAAGTGCAGGTGAGCTGGTGTCTGTTATACATGATGATTGAAACCTGAGGCTGTGGTTTGAAAAACGGAAACCCGCGAAGGAGGAAGAAAAGGGGACAGACAACGTTTGTTCCCTTTTCTTTTTGAGACGTTGTCTGTCCCCTTTTCTTCCTCCTTCACGAGTTTCCGTTTTTCAAACCACAGTCTCAGGTTTCAATCATCATGTATAAGTCTGAATTTCAATTTATAATGTTGGTTATACGGCGTACAACATAAGGATCTTCATACTTCTCGGTTTTGGTTAACTTTCGGGCTGGACAGTTCCTTTGTAATTCCCAAAACAAGCCTTCGTGAAGCTGTCTTGTTCACTTAGTATTGACAGCAGACTAGACGCTATGCGGATTTTAGGCCAATCGTGTCTCCGCTTTCGGTCACGTGACTACTGTCTCCAGGCGGGTGATAAGGCGAAGCACGGCACCCGCTTGAAGGCCACTGCTTGGTAGGGCACTCGCATGGCATCCACTGCACTGTCAGCTTTGGGACGAACTCACAAAAGAATAGAAGTGCCAAATCCTCCTCTCGCTGTGTTCATTGTTGGTATGCCCCTTGAAGATGAGTCTTTTGTGAGCGCACCATCCTGCCGACCTTGAAGGAGCTCCGGATTGGCCGATTGGCCGATCACGTCGATGACTTGGCGCTTTTTTCTCCAACGTCCCATCGATGCGCTCCGCGAACTTTGGGCTCCAACTTTGTGTTTCACGAGTTTAGGGACCTTGGTGTCTGTAATCTATGAATTACTGTAAACGACTTAATTTTCGCGGGCTCAAATTTTCGCGAATCGGGCCAGAGCTGAAAATTTGAAATTTTTCGCGGGTTCTAATTTTCGCATTTCGAGTGTAGCAATTCCGTAGCGTTCACGTATTGCCCAAATCGTTCGCGGGAAGTATTTTTCGCGAATTGTAGGCGATTCGCGTGATTCGCGAAAATTAGGTTCTCGCGAAAATTTAGTCATTTACAGTATGTACAGGGTGTCACAAAAGAAATTTTACACGGTCTTTTTTACCGCAAAAATAAACTAGGCATCGCCGAACGCTCATTCTCCGCCCAAAAGTAGAGCTAGAGGTCGCAACCAGATGTCAAAGTTTCAGCTCAATCCGATAACTTAATCAAAAGTTATAAGTGATTTTCTGAAAATTTCAATGGGAAAATGGAGCCCATTTTTGCTCGTTTTCGGTTTCTGGTGCCATAGAGCCCCATGTGTTTCAAAACTCCGTCGGCCGCCATTTTCCCATTGAAATTTTTAGAAAATCACTTATAGCTTTTGATTAAGTTATCGGATCGGGCTGAAACTTTGGCACCTGATTGTGACCTCTAGCGCTACCTTTGGGCGGAGAATGAGCGTTCGGCGATGCCTAGTTTATTTTTGCGGCAAAAAAGACCGTGTAAATTTTCTTTTGTGACACCCGTTTTTGCTCCCAGCAGGGTCTCCAGAGGAGAGCCTCAATTACTAAATTTAAAAGGTTGATCTTGGGAGGGTTTATCTCCGCATCTGTCAGTTTTGCGGTGAACGTTTCTTTGGTAAGCTTTTCTCCGGTGAGCTTCTTGGTGGTGTACTGTTCTCCGGCAGAGAAACGCTCACCGGAAAACCGGTGGATGCGGAGAAGAGCTCACCAGACTTTTGATAGATGCGTAGAAAAGTTCACCTCTGCGAATCGATCTAATAGTTTTTTCTGCGGAGCTCTCGATATTTTATCGAACTCCGTTTTATGAGAGTCATTTAATGGAACGCCATTTAATTGAAACCATTTTCATCGAAGCCGTTTCGTAGAGCGCCGTTTTTTCAGACAATATGGTTTGTGGCCAAATCATTTGTCGATTTTGCAAATAGTGTTTTTCTTTGCATCCAAAAAATTAAAAAAAAA